GAGGCAGTAAATCTTTACAGAAGTAGATTGCCCCATTCTCCTTCTGTGGAGTGGCTGATGGGTTTGAACTGCCAACTTTCTGAATACCTTGGATTGCTTATAAATTCAGAAAGGTGAGAATAAATGGACCTTTGTGAAGAACCAGAGAAAAAGCCATGAAATAGACTAGGGATGTCAGGGAAGCAGCCATGAGACTAACCTGGACACACTCTTCTGAGTTGAAATTTTGAGAAACATTTTCATATTGAGCTTGTTTTTTCAGTTATGAAGAATTCCCTCAATCTGAGTTATGAAGACAGCAGGTCATCAGCTTTTAGAAAATGAAAGATTTAACAGATTTATGTCCTTATTCACTCAAACTCTAAAACCAGCTGCTTATTTACCTAGTGCATCTTTCATGTGCCCTCAAAAAAACTGCCAGCATATGCTTTCAGTTTCACTTATGTCCATTTACTTCCAGATTTGTCTGTTCACTTTTTTTCATTGTCCACTTTCAAAATGATGTATTTAAAGTAATATTTCTTCTTTATTGGAAATAGTAACCAGTTAGTGGGCTGAGCAAGTACTACTTGCTAACTTTATATGTCACAACAATACTACTTATGTAACTTGGATATTGTTGTTGTTAGATGCTGTCGAGTTGATTTAGACTCAGAGCAACCCCGTGTGTTGTCCCATGCAGTTTCCTGGGCTGCGATCTCCTGTGCAGCTCCTGTGGAGCTGCGGGGTGGGTTCAAATCACCAACCTTTCAGTTAGCTGCTGAGCACTTAACCATTGTGCCACCAGGGCTCCTTGTAATTTGGATAGAAGGCTTTAAAGTACCATGACTTTTGCAAGTGAATAGTCCCAGGTGAAAATAGTTTATTTCATACTCTTACTTCCTCAAACAAATTGACATACAAGAACTATTATTGTTGTCACTGAATTGTACATATAAAAATTGATGAATTGGCATATGTTTTGTTGTATATATATTTACCATATACACACACACACAAGATATTTTTGTTAATTTCTTACATGTATTAATTAGACCACTAATTCATCTTTTATCAGTCATAATTTAGAATATCTTATCTACTAATGGAGTTTAAGTGAAATATGAAAATATTGAATTGAAACACCTATATGATGTATAATTTGTTTCTTAAATATGAACAAAGAACTTGATTTTAAAAAAATTATAGTTTCAGGGCTTGTTGGAGAAATAGCTGATACTAGGGCTCAAAAAAAACCTAAACTCACTGCCATCGAGTAGATTCTGACTCATAGTGACCCCCTTTGGGTTTCCGAGGTGGTAAATCTTTACAGAAGTAGTTTGCCCGGTCTTCCTTCCATGGACTGGCTGGTGGGTGTGAATCACCAATCTTCTGGTTAGCAGTCAAATGCCTTAGGCACCAGGCCAGGGAAAATACAAATGAGTCTGGAGCATCTTGTAGTGCCACAAAACAAAGAAATGCTGAGGAACAAAACAAACAAACCAAAGGGGCCTATCAAAAGCATACAAGATTAAACCTGAAAGAGCTCTTAAGGACCAAATCAGATGTTTGAGCAACACAGTAAATAATGATAGTATTGGATTATAACCTAGAGAATAAAATAACTATCCATGAGTCCATATTGATATAAATAAATGATGGAATAAATACATACACAGGGAAGGAAGCACAAATCTTTCTTACAGAATTTCAAATGATATACAATGAAACCTGTAGCACAAAAACTTGACCAGACTGCCTTGTTTTTCTGGGTCTTTCAAGTTTTCTGCCTTTGACAGGGTACAGTCTTACCACTTTTCTGTCACTAGTTTTACCCACCCACTGCCAGTGTGTTGATTCCAACTCACAGTGACCCCGTAGAGTTTCCAGGACTGTAAATCTTTTTGGAAGCAGACTGATTCGTCTTTCTCCCATGGAGGAACTGGTGAGTTCATACTGCCAACCTTTTAGTTAGCAGCGGAATGCCTTAGCCACAGTATCACCAGAGTTCCTTGTTGCTAGTTTTAGTGGAAAATATTTGAATTTTCCTTCTCAGACAGGTGTTCACTTTACACAGATCCCTGCTTTCACAGGTTTTACTGTAGTGGAACTCTTTTTTTTCTGGAGGTAGAACTTAATTCTCTTCCCTTGACTATAAAGTCAAAAAACCAAACTCACTGCCATTGAGTCAATTTGACTCATAGTGACTCCTCCTTGGGTTTCCGAGGTGGTAGCTGTATGGAAGTAGATCACCCAATCTTCCTTCCAAGGAGTGACTGGTGGGTATGAACCGTCAGCCTTAGCAGTCAAATGCCTTAGGCACTATGCTACTGGAGTTCCCTCCATTGAGTGTGGAGGGTATAAAATAATAACTTTACTGTGAAGAAACTTGCCAGATACCATCTGTGTTGGATTGGGTTCTCTAGAGAAACACAAAAACCAGCAAAGTATATATATATATTTATAGAGAGAGAAAGAGAGAGAGAGAGAGA